ATTTTTGGTACCTGGGATTGAACTCAGGTCCTTGCGCTTATGAGGCAGGTGGCGGAACCACTGAGCTAAATCCCCAGCCCTCCACCAAGATTTAGAGAGAGAGAGAGAGAGAGAGAGAGACAGAGAAAGGACCAAGGGGTAGGACAGTGTGCCCCTGAGAGGTAAGTGCAGAAAGCTTTGAGAATAAAGTCAAAAGTATAAAAGAGACCAAGAAGTTAGAGAAGTCAGAAATTTAAGACATCTGAAAAAAAAAAAGGCATAAAGCTACAGACGGTGGCAATGCTGTATGGATTGGGCCAGCCAAGCTGTTTAAAGTTTACATCTTTATCCCAGGTACTGGACATACAGCTACAAGATTTTTGCTTTGGTGGGTTTCTGTCTTGTTTTCATCCCATTCCTTTCTATCCTATTCTTCCCTTTTAAAGTAGAAATGTTTACCCTGTGCCATTGTATGTTGACAGTGTTTAACTTTCTTTTAGATTTTTACAGGGGCTCATTGCTAAGCATTTCCTTGAGTCTCAGAAGAGACTTTAGACTTGGACTTTTCAATAATGCTGAAGCTGTTAAAGACTTTGGTGACTCTTGGAGGTGGACTAAATACATTTTACAATAAAGAGATACACATGAGTCTTCTAGGGGCCAGGGGCAGAATGTTATAATTTAGATTAAAACTATCCCCCAAAGGCCTCATGAGCTCATAGGCAGGGCTTTTAAAAGGTGATTAAATCATGAGGGTTCTGAACTTGCCATTAAAGGACAGTGTCTGGTCAAAAGAGAATCACTGACCTAAAAGGGTATACCTTTTCTCTCTCATTCTGCTTCCTGGCTGCCACATGAGCAGCTTTCCTTCACCATGATCCTCTGACATGTAGTTTTCTGCTTTAGAGCCAGCTGACCATGTACTGTAACTGTGAGCCAAAATTAATCTTTCCTCCTTTTAGCTTTGAGTGTTAGTATTGTGTCCCAGCAACAAAAATGCAACTTAAGACATAAGCATTCCACAGTTTATCCATTTCTTATTAATGACTATTTAAGTTGCTTCTAAGTTTTGCTATTGAAGACAATGCTGCTTTAAACATTCTTATAAGTGTCTCCTCTATATAAGTACAAGAATTTCTCAAGGAATGCCTAGAAGTATTCATAGGGTAATGTGCAAAAGAAACAGAATATAAATAAGAGACCTATCCACTCTTCCTTCCAAATTGTTCTCCAAAGGTGATATACCAGCTTACATTTCTATTACCAGTGAAAAGAATTCCTGTTATTTTCCCCTTTCAGGAACATTAGGAATTCTCAGAATAGGAAATATGAAATATCAACTCAATTTTAATGTGGTTTTAATTTGTATTTCTGTTAGTACTGAGTTTGACCAGTTTTCTTATTGGTCATTTAGTACTAACTTGTGACCAGTTTTCTTATTGGCCATTTAGTACTAACTTGTGCCCATTTTTCCAAATGAATTCATTCATTCACTCAAAAAATACAAATGCCACAAACTCTTCAAGGCACAGGGAATAGAGCTGTGAACAAAACAAAACAATAAAAACCTCCACTGTTATGGAGCTTCATAGTAAAAGACAGTCAATTAATATGACAACTAAGCAAAATGTACAGTATAATAGGTGATAGTGGGTGCTTTGGAAAAAAATGTAAGGGGACAGACAATGAAAGGAGTCCATTTTAATAGGGTAGTTAAAGATAAGCCTCCTTAACATGGTAGGGTCTAAACAGAAAACTTTAGGTCACAGAGCAAACTATGTTAAAATAGTGTTTCCATGAGGGGCAGCAAGTGCAGAGGCCTCAATGCAGGAATGTGACTGAAATCTTTAAGAAACAACATCCAGTAAGTCTCCACAATGAGACTTACTGGAGACCCCCTGTAGTAGGTTCTGATCTCCTGTTCAGTGTTATGGCACAAGGAGAAAAGAAAGACACAGAGACAGAGTTAAAGAGACAGATGTGGGGACCCAGGGTGTCCAGTGCTTGAGCAGTCAGAGGCTTGAACAAGCAAAGGCCCTGAACACCCAGAGCTGTTGATGTTTGTTCGTAACATCATAGTTAGATTGAGGTAAAGGGGCTACGTGAAGGGATACGTAGAGTTGTTATGGATCTATTGCTGATGCAGGCAAGGCCTATAAAGGAAGAGACAAAGCATTCTTGAATCAGAAACAGAACAGACAAAATATAGGTTGTGGTTAATAGTTAACCTTGTCTTTTTAGTAAAGAAGGTTTTAAATTTAGGAACAGAATTTGGGTGTGAGTCACTCTGACCTTGGCATGGCATATAAGCTTCAGCCAAACTCGCTTCTCAAAACAAGCCAATTGTGGGGTTAACTCTTTACACCCTGCACTGCTCACAGCCTGCTTTGGGTATAATCAATAGAGTGGTCTCCCACAGAGGCTAGTATGGAGTAACAAAGAAAGGGAGACAATGGTAAGAGACGGGGTCAGCAAGGTCAGAGGTTGTAGTACAGGCCATTGTAAGGATATAAATTTTGCTCAACACAGGTCAGAAAACATTTCAGTAGTAGAATAATAAGATCTGGCATATGACTTATTAAAAGGTACATTTACATTTCTGGGTTGGGAATAGATTAAAGCAAGGGTAGGATGAAAAGGTCTATTTTACACATTTAGCTAAATGATAAAGAAGATAAGGAACCAGGGTGGTGACACAGAAGATGAAAAGGCATCAGATCCCATGTGTTCAGGAGATCATCATAACCTAGCAGCCAGTCATTAGTGAGCTTTAAAAGCAACTGGGTAGAGTGATGAGGGAACAAAACCAGGTTAGAATTCTCTCAAGAGAAAGGAAGAGAAACTGCAAAGTGAAACTGTAATAACTGTTTCCAGGTGCTTTACTAGATAGGTAAGAAGAGGAATTGATCAGCAACTGGAGGATAGAACTGAAAGACAGTTTCTGTTAAGCATGGTGGTGCATGCTTCTAATCCTACCACTTGGAAGGCTGAGGCAGGAGGATCACAAGTTCCAGCCTGGCCTGGGCTACACAGCACGAGAGGAAGGAATAGGCTTCACCAGAGCACAGACTATCCACCTAGAACAGGGTCAGAAACAAATGATTATCTGCCAAGCCCTGCAGCTTCCTATGGGAGCCAGCTATTAGAGCTGGCCTCCTTGATTTGTGCTGCAACTAGCAGCTGCTTAGAGTCTGATCTGATCACAAGCCACAAGTTGCGGACTTTGCTATTAGTAAGTGCCACGCACCTAAGTGGAATCTCAGTCCAGTAGTTGTCCTGTCTTTGGCTAGCTGCCCGACTTCAAAGGGCCAAGCTTTTGAGAAGGACACACAATAGGATCAATGTGTCACTGGGACACATAGCTTCAGAGTGAAGCTGATCATAGTTTCCCTCCCCACTTCAACCTGCCAGGCCTATTTCCTACAGCAAGTTATTCATTCTTGGACAGGATGTTTCCAGTTAACAGCAATTGAGGGCTAACAGTAACCACAAAAGGACAATTTTCTCTTTTTTCTATAAATATTTATATAGTATTTTTGATTTTGTTCTTTGGTATGGAATAAATATTTACTATCTGACCATTTACAGAAGAAGTTTGGGTTTAGATAATTGATAGTTAGGTTTCATGATACACACAACATAACATATCATGTTCCAACTACATAAGAACATATGATCACTGCATTCAAAATCTTTCAGTGATTTCCTACCCCTGATCCTCCATTTGAATGGAGTTCAAGTACCTCAAGGAGACACTAATAATTTACAACTTAGAATTCCCAAAGTCTAGTTTTGAGACAGATAGCAAGAGACTCTATTTTAGCTTCAGGATTAAGTCATCTTCTTCAACTTAATTCACCTAAAACAGTGATGATGAACTTTTTAGAGCTTTCAATGATAACAAACAGCCAGCTGTGGCACGTAAAACTATGCATTTAGAGAACCAGGCAGACAGTACTTAGTCAGATTAAGAAAGTTTAAGAACTTATGTTCCCACTTGGCTAGTGAACTCTATGGATCAGAACTCTGGCAGTGAGAAAGGCAGAAATGCACACAAAAGCCTTAACATTTATCCTTTTTGGGTTGTTTCAGGTCTACTACATGTCCAACCCAATTTAAGAGAAAAATTACAGAAATATTAAGTTTTGCTTGCTGGGTATTTATACTGTAATTCCAAATGACTAAGATGCCCAAGTGAAAAGTCTGTTTAAGCATATGGAAATAAAATTATAAATGTGAGGCCAGGCAGGGTAGCGGTGCATGCCTGTAATCTCAGTACTTGGAAGGCTGAGGCAGAAGGACTGCCACAATTTTGAGGCCAGCCTGGACTACACAGTGAGTTAAGGCCAGCCTGAACTACGTGGGGAGACCCTGGGGACAAAAGGAGTTACAAATGTGAGAATACTTTTTACTCTGTAAATGTATACACTGATCTAATGGGTCTGTGACAAACCCAAATCTGAAAATCAATTCATGTCCCATATAGTTTACAACTTGTGAGTTACTTGAATTTAGGAAATGTCTTTACCAAGCCTATTCTTTTCTGATATGTTTCACTTCTTCTACATTTATATATTTTCTTTAAAAGGCTTAATTCTTTGAGACTGATGTCATATTGTTGGGATTTATGAGTATATATTCTATTTGGAAAGAAGACACTATTTTTATTTTAAAATGTGAACTTCTGGCTCAGTGTGGTGGTGCACACCTATAATCCCAGCACTCTGGGAGGCTGAGGCAGGAGGACAGAAAAGTTTGAGCTCAGCCTGGGCAGTTTAGTGACTTAGACCCTGTCTCAAAATTTGGAAAAAAAAGGGGGGTTGGAAATGTAGCTCAATGTAAAGGTGTGGGGTTTAATCACCAAGACTGGAAAAAAGTACAAACTTCTACATTTGTATATTACTTTTACAAATGACTAAGAATACACTTCCTTTCTGTATTATAGCATACAAAGAATTTTTACATTAGTTTTCATTTAATTTAGACTATAAAATATGTCTTAACAGAAGGAATCTGGACATGAACTGATTAATTTTTTTTTCTTTTTTGGTAGTGGGGATCAAACTCAGGATCTTGTGCTTGCCAGGCAGGCGGTGGAACTACTGAGCTAAATCCCTGGCCCATGAACTGATTAATTTTATGTGTTAAATGCTTTTGCAAATATGAGTACAACTTAAATATATCTTTGTTTAAAATGTACCAAGGCAATAGTAAATTACTTACAAATAAACTTATTTTGGGGAATTATAGATTTCCAGAAAGATGCAAAGATAATGCAATGTTCCTATCCATCCAGTTTCCCCTAATGTGAACACTTTATATTGCCATAATCACTTTGTCAAAACTAAGAAATAAATATTTTTGTATATTACTATTAACTGAACTCAAAACTTCACCAATTTTTCTACCAACATCCCTGGCCTGTTCCAGGATCCAGTCTAGGCTACCACATTGCACTTTTCATTAAATTTCTTAAATTTCAAAGAGTTAAAAGGAAACATTTCCTTACCTGCTCTACGCCAAAATTTCATGTGTTTAATTCCAGCCGTAATTAGTTTATCAGGCACGTAGGGGTTCATCTTTACAATAAAAATCTTATCTTTACTTCCTCTGAAATAAATACCAAAATGTTTTAGTTCTGAAGATAAATATATCTTCTACTAACATTTGGCCTAATCAATACCCTACCATGATTACTCCATTTGCTGAATATCTGTTTCCCACTTGTCTCTTAGGTTTGATTGTGAAAGCGTGCATTTAATTTTTTGTCATTATAATATGTTAACTCTATTCAACAGATTCTCAAAGGACAGAAACAATGAAAATTGAGCTTCTGCATATCTAATAGTAATGTGCATAGGGAATACTGTTTGTGGGATGAGTTAAAGAAATTTTTTATAATACTCCTTACAGTTTAATACAGCCCTTCCAACTATAAATCTCCTTCACTTGGGCATTACCTATATAGTATCCAAAAGCACTTACATCTATTTAAGTGCTTTAATATCTCACTTTAATAAATATTAAAAAGTAGTCTCTGACTACTAACACTGTTAATATTTTCATCATATAAATAATACAGGCTCAATGTAGAAAATTTAGAAATAAAGAAAAATATAAAAGAAAATAAAAATAACCTATAACTTTTGTGTGATGTGTACCTTTTTTCACTTAAAAACACAATATAAGCATTTTGGCAGGCTCTCCAACTGCTATACAATAGCTATCATACAGTTAACTCTATCTGTAAATGGATAATTGAGATAACAGTAACTTCCAATGTCATAATATAGCTGTATTAAATAGTGGGTTCACCAGGGATAAATCTATAAAGAAACAATGAAATCATTCATCTTTTACTATGATTACATTATTCATTCAATGGTAATACAAATGGCAGCAATAAAAACTTACATATTGACATTTAAAAATTGCTTTAATTAAAAAAATTTTTAAATCCCAAGTAATTCTAGCATTTTGACATCAAGTTTTTTCCATACCTTGCTATTGAAAGTTTGTCTCCTTTCTTCCAGTCCCACAGCACAACAGTGTGGCTATCATCTATTCCAACTGAAGCCAAACGTTTCCCATCAGCTGCAAAAATCAGAGATATACTCACTGATCAGTAAGAGTCAGAACACAGAAAACATTCAGTATGTATTCTAACGGCACATGCTGTCATGTGAACGTGGTTTTTCTCCAGAGTTTCAAGTGCCACAATCTTCGGTGTGGTAGTATTGAGGGAATGGAACTTTTAAGAGGCCTACTGTAAGGTGATTGTCACTGCAGTCTCTGTCCTCAGAAGGGAATATGCTGGTCTCTCAGTCAGTTCCATGATAATGGGGACTTATATGCACTCTTCTTGTATTCATTCCCACTATGATTCCATTCATCATGTTTTGACACAGCCAAAGAGGCTGTCACCAGAGGCTGAACCAATGCGGCCACCAGACTTGAACTTTTTTCAGCTTCCCTAACTGTGAGCTGAATAAATTTCTTTTCAAATAAGTACTTAGCTTCAGGTATACTGTTATAGCAATTGAAGATGAACTAATATCCTATAGCATTATATTTAAAATTTGAAAAAATGATAAATATTAGGCATTATACTTAGCCATAAAAAAAATCAGAATTTATAAGACTAGGAGGAATTAATGGTTTCTTGAGTCATGTAAACATAGTTGCTGTCCTCTCACCTGACCCTGTCTACTTTATCAAGTTGGGAGAGGAAAGGGAGGGAAAAATGATAAACATATAAAGTGATGAATATGCTTAATACCATGAATTATTATAAATACATACATGTATCAAAACCATTACACTAAATCCCATAAACAAGTAAAATAATTGTGGGTCAATTAAAAACAAAAACATGTGCAGAACAAATGGGAAGAAAAGAAAAAATTAAGGGGGAGGAAAATATTTACTTTAATTAAATTCACCATGAGAGCTCTTTTGTGACATAAGAACTCAGTGATTATAATAAGTTAATCAAATGAAAAACATGTAGGTTAAAACAACATATTGTCATTAATTTTCTTGCTGTTACTATTATCAAGCAACAAATAATGAATATATTAGACAAATCTTTGAGGCATGCTAACAGGTGTGCATGTGTTTATAGGTTATAAAGCTCAGACCACAAAAATTATTTTCCACTCCACCATAGTTTTTGCAAGCCTTAATTAGTTGCTCAATGCTACCAGTAATATTTTTATTGTTGACTCATTTAACTTGCTGTCCATTTTCTTATTTCTTGACCATTTGTATCCCCCCCCGTCCCCCGGTACTGAGGACTGAACTCAGGAGCTTGCACTTGCCAGGCAGAAGCAGTACCACTGAGCTAAATCCCCTGCCCAGACCATTTGTATTCTTGAAATTGTATATTTCTCCCAAAACCCACTGATAGATAACTTATCCTTTCAGTTAGAGCACTTCAAAAAGCACTAATTTAATGTTTCTTGATATAAAATTCTCTAACGGTATTTTCCTCCTTCTCAAGCAACACCCTACATTTCATCGTAGACCTATCTGTAGTTGTTAAACTTGTAGGTATAAAGCAAAATGCTAGCATGATCTGAAATTATAAGATGGCTTGAAACTGTCACTTTAGAGAAATATCTAAAACAAATATTTCAGTTTTCCCATCTTTCATTTTTAGCTTTCTACCCCAAGCATTTTTCAAAGTTTACTTTACAGGTGTAACATATTAAATGAGATCAAAGTTTGTTCAAAGGGGAGATGTTTATTACTAATATAACAGATAATTTCAGTTGTTTGGCTGAAAAGCATTTACTAGAAACATGCAAATTTTAAATGGCATTAAAATTATAATCATTAAGTTATAATTATAAACTAGCCACACTTTTATCAGTTTGATTAGATTAACAGTATATACCTTCAATAAAAATTGTGAAGGTCATAGCTAAATCACAAGTTTAGGTAACACTGATTTACTTTAAAATGCTACATCTGTATAAAATGTCTCTGTATTTTGATCATTCTTATTGAGATAGAAAACAGCCTTACCTGAGAAATCAACAGCACAGACACCATATTGGTGGTAGCCCTTTAATATTGACAATGGTTTAACGGTCTCTGTATCCCATATGTGAATTGAGGGATCCCTACCTACCTGAAATAGAATTTTAAAAGTCATTTTGCAACTAAAATAGTTATTTTATATCTCTCAGAATGAAATAAAACAAGAGATTTTACAGCCTTTGTTTTATTTTCTACAGAAATTTATCAAAAATATAAAGCACATTGTATTCATGACTGATTGTTCTTAACAGTCATTCAAAAGCTAATGATGGTAGGCCCAGTATTTCCAGTAATATTCTAAAACTATGTGACTTGTAGATCTTACACTATCCTTTATCACTAAAGATAATAAATGCTTGCTAAACACTATTATTGGCAAGGTTTATATGCTAGACACAATGAATACTAAGGCATTTGATAACTTTTACAAATTCCTGGGAAAACAGAATATTTTCAATTAAATAAACACCTGGAAATATGTGCTAAATGAAAATAAAAAGCTTGTAGATGAAAGACTTCATGAAAGAATGTCACTAGAGCTGGCCCTTCAGAAATGCACTAAGATAAACAGAAACAAGTACATTATAGACTAGGATAAGAGTATAAGCAAAAATTCAGAAGGGGCTAAATCTCCAAGCAGTAAGTAAAACTCTAAAGAAACAATGTAGTACTCTATAACTTATAACTATAACAATGTAGTACTCTATAACTCTATAACTTCAGCATGGCGCTATGGTTTGGATCTACTGTGTTCTTTAAAAGCCCATGTGTTAAAGGTTTAGTCACCAGTCTATGGCATTATTTAGATAGCGGAACCTATAAGAGGTGGGGCCTACTGGAAGAAAATTAGTCCACTGGGAGTCTGCCCTTGAAGGGGATATTGGGTCCATGGGCCCTTTCTTCTCTCTTTTCCCACCTTTTGGCCACCTTGAAGTGAGCCTTTCAGCTCTGCCACATGGTTCCTACCATGATGTTCTAACTCACCACAGGCACAAAGGCAATGGAGCCAAGTGACCATGGACTGCGGATGCTGAAACCATGAGTTAAAACAAAATTTTCCATCTTTAAGCTGTTTATTTGAAGTACTTTATCACAGCAATGAAAATAAGAATAACACACTTGATTTATGATACTTACAGACAGGCAATCTATCAAGTCTTAATTATTTCTCAAGATTCAAGTAATCCCTTTCTCAAAGATTTATCTTTGTAAATAAGGCTAAAACTCCTGAAATAATGTAAGATATTACAGTTTGAAAACCCACTAAAATCAATAAATATTTCACTAACTTATTAAGCTTTTTTTTTTTTTTTGGTATCAGGGATCAAACTCAGGACCTTGTGCTTGCAGGGCAGGCACAGTGCCACTGAGCTAAATCCCTGGCCCGTAAGCTAAATATTACTAATGACTGTGTACTAAAGTTCTCTGAAGAGGCCACATCTATACTGAAGATCCTGCAGGCTGGATGAAGAGAACATGGTGACTGTAGAGATGAAATGTTATAGATAAAAAGCAAAAAATTATGTTGGGCTATCTTCAGTCCCTTTTAATAGTCATATATATCCTGCCGCTCCCAGCCCAGAGGAAGTGGCTTCCCGGCTACCATCCGTCCTGCCACTTCCAACCCAGAGGAAGGGGCTTCTGGGCCACCATCCATCCTGCCTCTCCCAGCCAGAGGAAGTGGCTTCCAGGCCACGGTCCCACCGCTCCTGCCCAGAGGAAGGGGCTTCTGAGCCACTGTCCCACTGCTCCTGGCCCAGAGAAAGGGGCTTCTGAGCCACCATCCATCCCGCCACTCTCGGTCCAGAGGAAGGGGCTTCCCAGCCACCATCTGTCCCGCTGCTCCTGGCCCAGAGGTAGGGGCTTCTGAGCCACCATCCCACCAGTCCCAGCTTAGAGGAAGGGACTTCCAGACCACTGTATGTCCCGCTGCTCCTGGGCCAGAGGAAGGGGCTTCCGGGCTGCCATCCATCCCGCCATTCCCGGCCAAGAGGAAGGGGCTGAGCTGCTGTCCAACCTCTCCCAGCTCTGAGGAGGTGAGCTGTGCAGGTGCCAACAGCACCCCTCCCCCCAGGTTGAAATGAGAAGACACATAAGTAAGTCTCAATACCTGACTTCCAGATCACCTACAGCAACCCCAAAGGGAAATGAGATGGAACACTCTGATACTCAACCACCTGGACCCATTGAACTGGCAACAAAAGAGAATCTGGAAAAAATGAAATCAGAAATAATTTCTCAGATAACAGCAGAGATTGTGCTCACAGTGCAAGACATGATTAATAAAGCTAGAGAGGAGCTGAGGAACATGATGGAATCCCAACATAGGAAACAAATGGAATCCATAAAACAAATGCAAATAGATTTCCAGGAGATCAAAAACTCCACTGAAAGTCTACACAGCAGAATGAGCCAATGTGAAGACAGAATTTAAGATATAGAAGATAAGATTGCAATTAATGACCAGGAAAAGAAAAACTGCTTCAAAATTGTAAGGGAACATGACAAATCAATCCAGCAGCTGCTATACGATGCAAAGAAGAATAACATAAGACTGAGTGGAGACAAAGAAGAAATAGGAGAGAGTGCAGATGACATAAAAAAACTGTTCACAGAAGTAATGGCAGAAAACTTCCCAAGCAGGGGAAAAGAACTTGACATACAGATAAATGGGGCATATAGGACTTCAGCTAGCCTTGATCAGAAAAATTCTACACATAGGCATATAATTGTTAAGATTCCAGAAACTCAACAGAAAAACAAAGTTCTACAAGCAGTTAGAGAAAAGAAACAAATCACATACAAAGGAAAGCCCATCAGAATCACAG